CACCTATGATATGGGTAAGTATACAGTCACGTAGTACAGTGCTTACCACACCCATCCACGTAACCCCCCCTGACACCTATGACATGGGTAAGTATACAGTCACATAGTACAGGGCTTACCACACCCATCCACGTAACCCCCCCTGACACCTATGACATGGGTAAGTATACAGTCATGTATTACAGGACTTACCACACCCATCCACATAACCCCCCCGACACCTATCATATGGGTACAGTAAGTATACAGGTGCTTTCACCACTATGTTGATCTGTGCTTCCCAAAGTTTGCTTAATGTGCCACTGAAAGATATACCAGTAATGTGGGATATATTTTGGTCTTTGCAGAGGAAGGAGAAGAGAGGTACATGATAGAACCAGGCTCAATGGAGGATACAAAAGTCAGGGCACTCAAAACAGTAAGATCTATGTAACATTAGCAACTTCCTTTGCTTTACTCTTTATGGGTCAACATCAAATTAGTATCACCTGTCAYATTACCTTGAAAAGTATTTTCACACCTCTATACTCATTGGCAGAGCTTGGGGTGTGCTAGTACCCCAAATAAATTTCATTAAGGTGGGGTTCGATGGTCAGCACACCCACTTTTTGGGTATACAGTAAATTTAACTTCACATTTGGTGACGTCCAAGAGTGATGTAATTAGATACACTTACACGGCTGCTACTAGCACCTAAATACCCAGCCTGTAAAGTCCTCCACTGGTTATGACTGTGAAGCGCATTGAGACCATGTAAAATGCGCTATATAAGAACCCCGTTAAATAAAATAAACAATGCAGACAAGAAAAACATATATAAAAATTGTCAATCTGAATGAATAATCAATGAAGGGTCTATTTTGGGTCTACACTTCTAGTATACACCTCTAGTACTTTTTACTAGAAGGGAGAAAAATGTTTTTAGGTACGTACTATAATTGGGCCAAGTATGCCCCTGGAGGGGTACTCCRCCAGAATTTGGGTAGGGGTGTTCCGCTGGGATTCTGAAAGGGGTACCCTGTTTATGACAAAAAAAATCAAATTTGTAGACCCTGTTTTTGACAAAAGATATAATTAATTGCACTGAGTTCCTGTTTCAATTATCATGTCATCTCGCGTATCGTTTTTTTACGACCATGATAACCAGTTTTGGTCAATACGAAAGTAGAAAACCTGAATATGACAAGAAACTCAGGAAGAACTTGGAACTTGAGTGAAATTGCATACCCTGTTTATGACAAGAAGCTCGAAAAAACCATACCCTGTTCAGCAGATCATCCCCGTATAGTCCATATATGGGAGTATCCCCCCAGGAGTATGCCTTAATTCGACACCCCTACTTTTCGATCTCCTTTGACCCCCCTAAATATTGTGTGTTGTTAGGTATTGCTAGAATGGCTCAATGAAGTGCTTGCTGAGAAGAGAATCGTTGTACGAGACATTGAAGAAGATTTGTACGATGGTCTAATTCTGTCCCACCTTATGGGTAAGCATAAGGCATCATTCAATTTAGCATATAACTGTAATTAATTATTATAAGTGTTCTCTTCGTTTTATTTATTCACTTTAACCTATATTTCAATCTTGAACAATTCCTTAAAAACAATTTTTTCTATTTCTATTGACTGTATATAATATTATTATTAAGCACTATTGAATATTATTCCCGGAGGGGTACTCCCCTATATTCCCTATACGGGTACGTGCCGCCAAACAGGGTATGGTTTTCAGTGATTCTACTCCTGGAACAGGGTATCTAAAATCGAGCTCGCTCTGGAACAGGGTATATGAAATCACGCTCTCTCCTCTCTGGAACAAGGTTTTCAGCGATCTTGCTCTCGAACAGGGTATGAATTTCAGCGATTTTTATTCTGTAACGGGATCAGGGTTCAGAGGGCTCAGTGGCACATCCCTACCCTAAACGTGCAAGAGTACCCCCCCCACCCCCCCGGGATATTATTGTATAGTACAAGCGGTATATAAATTTTAGCAATTATTATTAGTGTTATTCTGAAGAGTGATAAAGCAATTCATTGAGTAAGAGTAAAATATTGTCGTCATCGTCAAGTTTGCGATAAAATTTTTGAAAAAAAAATGCTAAGATCATGTTAACTCAGAATTTTTTTTATTTTTTATCATTTTGGTGCATGACGCAACTTATTCACTTCACTTTGTGTCAATAATGGCTTCCTAAATATTGATTGATTGATACCAAAAACGTGATGCTTGGAACACCAAATTTAGCAGTCACTTGGATCCCAGGACACAGATTTAAAACTCCTAGCACAACCTTTG